TCATTGAGCACTGTCGGGTTTTGAGACGCTGAGCCCCACATCTCTTTGGTTGAGATGAAATATGACAAGTTACAATGTTTCCCCAGTGAGGGACGCAAGTTACAGGCATGACTAGCCCAGCAAAGCCCAGCACAAACGCGCATGGGCCTGCCTTGGGCTTGAGTCATGCCAAAATACAGCCCAGAAGAAGCCCGGCCATGAATGGCACGGACCTGATCATCGGACTGGCGGAGCCAAACAGCAAGTGAAAGTAGCAGCCCCCCAAACTCAAGCGGTCGTCTTGCTTTGCTTCAAAAACCACATCGCTGCCTGTTCTCAGCTGGCTCAGATGATCAGCTCTTCGACTTCATCGGTTTTTTGGCCGCAGTCTTCATCCCCTTCGCCTTGTTGGTCTTCTTAGTAGGCTTGGTCGTTGGTGATGGCTTGCACCCCTTGAGCTTCTGCTTGGCCTTCACCGTGGACTGGTTTGCAGCCGGCTTCTTCTTAGCAGGCAATGCTTCCTCGTCATCCTTTGCCCTCTCCCACTTTTCCGCCTCAGGCCCTGCGACAAAGCCCATGTGCGCAATTTTGTTAGGACTCCACGCCAGATTCTCATTCCAGGACATGGCTCAGCAACAAGCTTGAGGCAGAGTGGCTGTCAACCACTTGACACTTGAAGTCTGGGAAAAGGCTGAGCGGCGAAGCATGGGTTGAAGTTGTCTGAACAAAAATCGAATCTTAATTAGTCATGCTAACTTAGTATGCTCAGGCTCTTATTATTATTACATATAAATTAATACAACATTATAAAAAAAAAACAAGTTCGAAAAAAACAAACCGCAACCACCGCAACCGCTATACAGCAGCAAGAAGCGCCCAAGGTCGCATTGAATCTTGGCGCATGAGGCCAACTACCCTGAGGAGCTCGACTACTATGAGATCGCTCGTGCCAAGGGTACTGGTCGACTTCAAGCCTGGGATGATGAAGATGATGAAGGGAAGTTTGAGGGGCTTCCCAGCCTCGAGGTCGAGAGAAGGCCCAGAGGGAGAAGGCTGAAAAGCCAAAAGGAAAAGAGCCCAAGATTGAAGAGCTCTCCACCACCGAACTGGCGGAGTTGAAGCGGGAAAGCCAAGTCTGGACAGCTACATGCCATCCTGCCCGCAACGTCATTGAGAAGGCACTCACTGCTGCAGGGTTCAACCCAGAAGACTATGTGGTGATGAAGCGCAGTGATCACCAAGGTGAAGGAGCAACCAGTGCACCATCCTTCACAGCACCAGTCATGGAGACCATCAATCCCCTTGATGTGACTGAGATTGAGGGACTTGACGGTGCAGAGTTTGAAGATGAAGTTGAGGAAGATGAGAATGGCACTGAGCCAGCTGAAGAGGAAGATGATGATGAGCAAGAAGAGGAAAAGGCACCAGAAGAAGACGATCCCGTGCCATGGCTCGACCACAACCAAACAACCAAGAGCACATCCTCAGCTATGATGAATGGGTGGCAAAAAGCACCCACAAGGCCAAGGACGGCTGCAAGTTCATGGTTTGCCACGCTTGCAACAAGGCATTGAAGTGCGACAACGATACAGATACAGGGTTATGGAACCACCATATGGCCCTGAATTGTTGCCCACCAAAGGTTCTTGGTCAATGGGCTAAGGAATGGGCCCTCAAGCAAAAGAGAATCAAGACTGCGAAGGGACAGCGAGGTAGACCAACCTCGCAAAACGCCCCAAAGCACGTGAAAGACGCCGAGATGGCTTTGAAGCGTGAAGAGATGGCGCAATGAAGGAGGCCGAGTGGGAAAGCGTGAAGAAAGAGCCCCCTTTCTACATGATTGCCCACATGCAGAAGATGATGGCCGAACAGGAAGAAGAAGACGACATCGGCCCAAAGACGCCAAAGCAAAGGCGCATTGCCAAGACACCTCCACCTCCTGAGAAGAAAGGCAAGACTAAGGAGGAGCGCATGGCCTGGTTCAAGAGCTCAACGGAAGAGCACATGGAACGATTCCGCGGCAGGTGCTCAGGCTGAAGTCCTGGTCTCGTTCTCCGGGCAAGAGCCGAACCGCTTCGGTTCCGGCTGCCTCCGAGAAAGGCCAAGAGAAAGGCAAGCAAAAGCAGCCAAGAAGGTACAGCTGACTCGAGCTGTCAATGTGGCAACAAAGATGCCGCTCGTGACACCGACAACGAGCCAAGTGAAGTGAAGGAGATCCACTGGCTCTCAAGAGTTTGGAGCTGGCATCAATTGAGACGCCCATGGCTCATCAGGTGACTTTGGATTCACGAGCAGCCACCTCCTGTATCCCAGTCGAACTCGCCGCCGCATTGGGCTACAAGCCCGTTTTGCCTGAATGCGCCAGTTCGAAGATCTACAAGACAGCATCGGGCGAGACAGCAAAAGATCTTGGCAAGATCAATGCCAAGGTGACGATTGGTTTGGCAGTGGAGCCCTGACGGGACAGTGCAGCTTTCGAGCGATGGCAGTCTCAAAGCCATTACTTTCTGCGGGGGCCCTCGCCGACAAGGGTTGGCCCATCCAAACAACAAGACTCGAGGGAGGACACATTGCTCGAGATGGGGAGAAAATCGCAATTTCCTTTTGCGACGGAGTTTACGCCGTGCCGATCGTGTTCCACCATTTCACCCGGCACCGATGTGGGTAAGTCCGGTCATGGACGACGAGGCCCCGGCAGAAATTGAACCCGCTGAGGCCGAGCCAGGTGATGAACTTCCACCTGGACTCAAGATCAACGCTCCAGTTCGCCCAACGCGAAAAGAGCTCGAGGAACACTCAGTTTCACATTTTCCTTTTCGTTCGCGGTGTGAGGCCTGCGTTAGCACACAAGCGGGTGGATCATTCTGACGAAACCACACCAGTAGTAACTGTAGATTACTGTTTCATGAAATCACGAACTGATGACGTAGTCATGGATGAGAAGACACATGCCCCAATCCTAGTTGTCAGAGATCGATGGACGAAACATCTTTTTTGCCCACGTGTTACCCTACAAGGGTGTGACCAAAGGACCATATGGATCCAAGGTACTCCTGAATGAGATCAAGAAACTATACGGTATTCCAATCTGATCATTCGACATGACCCTGAACCTGCTCTCACATCCGTCATTGAGGCAGCAAAGAACGGGTTTGAAGGAACCTTGATCATCGAGAAGAGCAAACCTTGGAAGGACAGGCAAGGACTCTTCGAGATGCAATCGAGTCGAGTTATGGTGAAAAGCTTCCAGACGATTCACCTATTTTGACATGGTTGGTTGAACATGCGTCCACGGTCTACAACCTGTTTTTCCGATCGACCGAACTCCAAGACGGAAAGACGTCGTACTCAAGACTTCGTGGACGAGAATGGAAGGTAGCCATCCCACCTTTCGGTGAGGCCATCGAATACTTCAAGAGAGGTCACAGTTTGAGGCCCAATGGACTAAGGGTAATTTTTCTAGGAGTGAAAGACGGCACCACAGAGAAAATAGTAGGCACAGCCACTGGAGTTTACACAGCGCAGTCAATCCGAAGAAAGCCCGAAGAAGATCGATATGACTCAGCGTTGCTGAAGTCGATCACTGTGATCCAAAAGCCAGTCAACAGATCAGAGTGTTGAACCGCATCATCACTTGGTCAAACGAAGGCAGTTGGTGGGAACCAGATCCAAGACATGCAGAATTGATCATCCAGTGGTTAGGCACTGGTCAACCAGGCAAGGTCAAGACACCATTGGCCAAGCCAAGTCAACAGGAACTACAACACGAAGAAGTTCCGTTGAGCGCCGAAGATGCAATGATGTATAGATCTATTGCTATGAGAGCCGCATATTTGGCACAAGATCGACCTGATCTGCAAACTGCAACGCGCTCGCTCACACAAGGTCTACAGAATCCAACATCGAGGCACTGGAACATGCTGAAACGATTGGCAAGATATGTCAGATATCGACCAAGAGTTGCACGGCTATTTCCAAATCAGAGCACCTGCAACCATTTCAATATGTGGTCAGACGCCGACCATGCAGGATGCATAAGGACACGAAAGAGTGTGTCAGGAGGCGTGCTCATGGCCAACAAACGCTGTCTCACTACCTACAGCAAAGGCCAAGGAGTTGTCTCCCTTAGCAGTGGTGAATCCGAGTATTATGGACTTGTTTCTGGAGCATGTCACATGCCTGGAATCGCATCAACTGCCAAAGACTGGGGATTGTCTCCCAGCAAAGAGGTGACAATGGACGCTTCCGCTGGCATTGCCATGGGAAACCGTCGAGGTTTGGGACGAGCCAAACATGTTGACACTCAGTACCATTGGGTACAAGAGCATACAGCAAAGAAAGAGTTTCGTCTCAAGAAAGAAGGCACCGACCGAATGTTGGCCGACGTGCTAACGAAAGCTGTCACCGAAGAAAAGATGAACGTTGCAATGAGAGGCATGAACTTCCACTACCTGCAAAGTGAGCATGAACTAACACAGAGAGCTTGAACGGCTTGAGCTAGAGTAGGTACTTCTTCAAGACCAAGATGTACTGAAGGGCTACGAGCTAATTCACTCATGTGCTAATCCTGATTCGTTTAACGTCTCTCAGAAGTTAAACTCAGGAGGCGTGATCAGATGTAGCACCAGTATAGTTCCGTTTTGGGTTTACTTGCTTACTTCAAGCGTGAGCTAAAAGTGTGCCTATCACCTTTGGGACTGTGACTTGGGGTCACTACGTTTGTGAGCCTAAATTCTCCGTTCATGCTTCTTGCTGAAGCTGGTTCCCATTGCTCACTGTATAATACACGATGAGGAAACCAGAGGTAAGTTTGGTCAATCCAAATGAACGAAACCAGACAAAAATGAAACAAATAAATATATATATATAGGAATGAACAGTAAATTGGGTAATAAATGATAAGTATGCATGAATGCGTATGTAATGCGTGTCTTTTGTTTGCTCTTAGGTTGGAGGCCATCTACAAGTCTTTAATGCTTAATGTACGTGATGGAAGCTTTTCAGATGCGACCGTCTTCCAGGTGAATGCCCTGGACCGGCATAGCGACACCCCGCTGTCATGGGCTGCCCGAAGCGGTCACCTGGATGCGGTGCCTTGGAGTGCATTCCAATCGACGTGACAAATCGATTCGCAAGAAGTGAGAAACGTAAGTAGAGACGGTTCATGTTTTTTCAAACTTAGATTTGTTGTGAGACGTTTGATATGTTAATTACTGTTTTTGCTCAATTAGTTTATTCCTTTTTCCCGAATGCGTAGCGAAGGGTTCTCGTTTAACTCTTGGGGGTCTGGGGGTAGAGTCTTGTTCGCGATCCGTTGCTTCTATGTTCGCAACCGTCCGCAACCGTCCGCAACCGTCCGCAACCGTCCACAACCGTCCACAACCGTCCGCAACCGTCCGCAACCGTCCGCAACCGTCCGCAACCGT